GGATGCACCGTTGCATGCCCGTCCAGGGGCTGTCTCAGGCTCCCTGGATTGCATCGGCTCTGCCGCCCTGGACGCTGCCGTCCGCCGCCTGATCCGCGGCCCCGCGCGCGTTAGGCAATTTAGTCGCGGCCGCAGCCCGCCCGCGACCTCCCGCCGCTGGCGCTTCCGCCTGCGGCTGCAAAAAAAAAAGAAAGACAACAAACACATCCCCACCCGCCCCTCCAACACTGGCGCACAGGTGAGTTGAGTCGATCATGAAAACGTGGGAGCAACGCGGGGGACAGTCGTTATCGTTCGAGGGGGGGAGGAGGCGGAGGAGGAGGAGGCGGAGGAGGAGGAGGAAGAGGAGGAGGAGGAGGAGGGGGAGGGGGAGGGGAGGAGGAGCCATGATCAATGACGTGGGGGAGCATACAGAGGAACTCAAGGATGGAGCAACCGTCGTACCCCGAGAGGGGGGGTAAGGAGGAGGAGTCGGAGGGGGAGGAGGAGGATTAGGAGCAGGAGCAGGAAGAGAAGAGAATGAGGAACAGTAACAGGAGGAGGGGGAGGAGGGCGAGGAGGAGGAAGGAGGAGGAGGAGGAGGAGGAGAACGTCGCTAATAACGATGAGGAGGAGTGACGAGGAGGAGGATGAAGAGGAGGAAGAGGAGGAGGAAGAGGAGGAGAAAGTGGACAAGGAGGAGAAGAACGTTGAAACGAGCAAGGAAGGGGATGAGGAAACAGGAGGAGGAGGAAGAGGAGGAGGCGGAGGAGGAGGGGGGGAGGAGGCCAGGAGTAGGAGGAGGCGTACGCGGATCAGGAGGAGCAGATGGAGAAGGAGGAGGAGGAGGAGTCTAAGAGGAGGAGGAGGGGGAGGAGGAGGAGGAGGAGGAGGAGGAGGAGGAGGAGGACATGGGGGAATATAACTGCGAGATGCCCCTGGGATGCCTCTGGGAGTCTCTTCGGATGCCGCTTGGATACTTTTATGGAGGCCCCTTGGGGCGTCTGGGGGGGGGGCATCTTGGCGGGCCAAGGGCCGTCTTTGAGCGTCTTGGGTGCCTCTTGGATCCTCGTGGGTCTCTTGGGAGCCTCTTGGGGGGGGGCCTTGGGCGCCTCCTGGGGCCGTCTGGGCGCCTCTTGGGATCTTGAGGAGCGCCCTTGGAGCCATCTTGGAAGACATCGATGTAAACAGAGGGGAGCTTCAATGTGCCTTGCCCTCGTAGATTGACGAACATCGCCTCGGGGGGGCTCTCTTGAGGCGCTCTTGCAGCGCTTTTGGGCGTTCTTCGGGCCGTCTTGGGGCCCTCTTGGGCTTTTGTGGGATGCTGGTCCCTTGGTGGCCTCCTTGGGCAGCTCTTTGGACACTCGGGGCCGTCTCGAGGCGGCCTTGGGGTCCCTTTGAACACCTTAGACGCCATCTTGACCGATCTTGTGCTATCTGGAGCCATCGTGGAGGCCATCTTGCACTCTCTGGGGCCCTCTTTGAGCCGCATTGTGTCATATCGGACGCCCCGACTACCCGCGACCTCCCCCGTCCAAGGCCAGGGGAGGGGGTACGGGGAAGGGTAAGCCTTTCCCCGAAAGGGAAGAAGGGGGTTGGAAGAGACAACTCTTTAGACCACCTAGGCCCAAAGGGCTGGTGGGATTCTGCCAGGGGTCCACGGGAGGGCATCGAGTGTCCCGACTCCGCATCGTGGGCGGGTGATCTTGCAAGAGGGAGGCCCCGCTTCTACCCCCTGTTCACGCTTTTGTTGCTGCTGTTGCTGCCCTCCATTGCATTGCACTACGAGGGGCCCGCTGGAGGCATTCTATGGACTGAGGAGGGGCCAAGACAAGACCCGACCCCGAGCCCTCGAGCATCCGATTGCATAGGTATTGCTGGACGGTGATCGAGTGCGGACCCATGGGAGGTGATTCTCTAGCCATGGGTTGCTGGACGGTGATCGGTATAACGATGCGTTGTGACGTAGGCGGTGAGGCCAGATCGTTTCTTGGCGAAGGTTGTGGCATCGCAGGCGCGGGCCCATAGGATTTCTGTCTTTCGAGCGCGGCTTCGGAATCGCAGATCGATGTTTTTTTTCGTTACGTGGTACCCGACCCCGGGCCAAACCTCGTGGTCGAGATTCGGGGTCGCCGCGGCGATCGCGGCGGCCACAATTCGATGTAAGGTTGTTGTGCAGGAGTGGCATACCCCTTCTTGCCCTCCCGCTCTCTGCGATGTAGGCGTGGCTCATACTACACAATCTGACGACAGAGAGTTGCCAGTTAATTTGCACAATGGGCACTGAATTTGTTGTGTTAAGTATGAACAAAATAGCACGCAGCCAACTGAACCTCGTGGCCCAGCAGCGCGGACGCATAGTTTTGTCTTTAGTGGGATCGTAGCGAAGGGATCGCAGATCCTCAGTTGCCCATTACCAAATCAGTTTGTTGTGTGCGGTCCTCGTTTGATGAGACATTGCCCCGTGTTCCTCTTGCATCTTCTCTTCCTCGCCCCTTCTCCCCATCCCTACCCTCTGCATGTCCACCGTTTCAGCGCACCCACTACAGCGCTTCGTGCCCCAATATGGAGCTCCACCGAATGCCCAAGCTTCTGTGATCACGTGCGCCCACGTCACCAAATAAGGCGCTTGTGGCTTCATCGCGAGTTCCACCCACGGTCCCCGTGGCTGTGATCACACGCGTCCGCGCCACCCATTACAGCCTTGTGTGGTCCCATAGCCACCATTGGCCCCGTCGACTGTGATCACATGCGTCTGCAACACCCAGAACTGCGCTTCGTGGCCATCTTGGCAGCTCCACCGAAGGCTTTTTTGCCTTTGAACACATGCGTCCGCGCCACCCGGTACAACGTGTCGTGGCCCGTTAAGGAGCTCCACCGAAAGCCCCAGCGGCTATGGTCACATGCGCCCACGACACCCAGTGCAGCATTTCGTCGCCTCACTGTCAGCTCCACCGAAGGCCCCAGTGGCTGTGATCACATGCGTCCGCGCCACCCAGTACAGTGTTTCGGTGCTCTTTTGGGAGTTCCACCGGATGCCACAGCGGCTGTGATCGCATGCGTCCGCGCCACCCAATTCAATGCTTCGTGGCCCTTGTGGAGCTCCACCGACGGTCCCCGTGGCTGTGATCACATGCGCCCGCGCCACCCAGTACAGCTTTTCGTGGTCCCGTCGGGAAGTCCAACCTTTGGCCCCGCTGGCTGTGATCACATGCGTCCGCGCCACATAGTACAAAGCTTCGTGGCCCCATACGGTTCCATACGGAGCTCCACCGAACGCCCCAACGGCTGTGATCACATGCGTCCGCGCCACCTAGCACAGCGCTTCGTGGCATCATGGGGACTTCCACCGAATGTCACAGCGGCTGTGATCATATGCGTCCGCGCCACCCAGTACAGCGCTGCGTGGCCCCATTGGGAGCTCCACCATTGGCCCCAGAAGCTGTGATCACATGCGCCCGCGCCACCCAGTACAGCGCTTCGTGGCACCATAGGGACTTCCACCGAATTCCACAGCGGCTGTGATCACATTCGTCCGCGACACCCAATACAGCGCTTCGTGGCCGCATCGGGAGCTCCACCATTGGCCCCAGAGGCTGTGATCATATGCGCCCGCGCCACCCAGCACTGCGCTTCGTGGCCCTTTTGGGAGCTCCACCGAAGACCCCAGAGGCTGTGATCACAAGCGTCCGCGCCACCCAGTACAGCGTTCTGTGGCCCCATCGGGAGCTCCACCGAAAGCCCCAGAGACTGTGATCACAAGCGCCCGCGCCACCCAGTACAGCGTTTCGTTGTACCATACGGAGCTCCACCGAATGCCCAAACGGCTGTGATCTTATGCGTCCGCGCCACCCAGTACAGCGCTTCGTGGCCCCATGCGGAACTCCACCGAAAGCCCCAGCGGTTGTGATCACATGCGTCCGCGCCACCCAGTACAGCGCTTCGTGGCACCATAGGGAGTTTCACCGAAGGACCCACGTGCTGTGATCACAGGCGCTTGCACCACCCAATTCAACGCTTCGTGGCCCCGTAGGGGGTTCAACCGAAGACTCCAGCGGTTGTGATCACATGCGTCTGCGCCACCTGGTGCGCCTTTTCGTGTTCCCACAGTCAGCTCCACCGACCCCCCCCCCGTGGCTGTGATCACATGCGTCCGCGCCACCCAGTACAGCGCTTCGTGGCACCATAGGGAGTTCCACCGAGTGCCCCAGTGGCTGTGATCACATGCATCCGCGCCAGCCAGTACAGCGTTTCGTGGATTGCGTTGACGAGCTGAACCGAAGGCCTTGGCGGCGGTGTCCACATACGCCCTCCTGCCTATGCCGGCATACCCTCGCACGTCTCGTGGCCCCATGCAGACGGAGCCCCCGCCTCCGTCGTATCACTTGCCTTGCGGAATGCACAATTGCACATGGTTGGGGTTTTCGCCAGGACATTGTTGTGTTTTCTGTTTGGTTTGGCCCTGGGATCGCGGACCTGGAATTAAGCGATGGATCTGGATGGTGGAGGTGAGGGAATTTTGGTCGGGCCCGCGCGTTCTGAGACAGCCAGGAGCGCACCTCGGGAGAAACCGGGCAGTTCCGCCGCCGAGCTGTGCTGCACCCCTTGTATGGCCCATAGGGGGGGGGTCGCAACGTTGCGAGAGGCCTCGATGCGTTGGTGGGCATGACGACCACGACGCTGACACGAAGGACCGCCTTGGGCTCGGGAGGGGCCCTGGGGATCGGGCCGCTCCCCAGGTCCAGGTCGGGGGGGGGGGGGGGGGCATTTGCGGGCGGGGCTGGCGCTAACAGGCCGAGGCGCTAACATGTTTCTAATGCGTTTGAATCATGTTGGGGTGACAAAAACAACAAAAAATTGCGGGCGGGGCTGGCCGTGGCCGGCAACGCCCCTTCGTCCCTCGTGCAGCTGCCCCCCGTGGTGGCACGAGGGCCGTGCGCTCCTCGGTGGCGCGGCCGGCTGGCCTGGTGGCCCCCGAAGGGCGGGTGCTGGCGGATTACTGCGCGCCCGCGATCTGTTTCATGATCTTCCTGTGGACCTGCCCCTTTCCTGCTGATGCTGCTCCTCCTCCCTCGGCTGCCCCTGCCATCCCTGCACGTCCCTCGTCTCTCCGCGCCCCCAGATCGTCCTCCCAATCCTGCTCCTTCCTGCTACTCCCGCTCCTTGTCCTCGACTCCCTCTCCTCCTCCACCTCCTCCACCTCCCCCTTCTCCTCCTCCTCATCCTACTCCTCCGCAATCCATCATCATTGTTATACTTATCGTGAGCAGCAGCATCCTCATCCTCATCCTCCTCCTCTTTCCCCTCCTCCTCCTCCTCCTCCTCCTCATCATCATCATCATCAGCATCATCATCATCGTTCTCATCAACACCATTATCATTGTCATCATCATCACCATCATCATCACCAGCATCATCATCAGCACCACCATCAGTAGCATCCTCACCACCATCATCATGATCCTCATGATCCTCATGATCCTCCTCATCATCATCATCATCATCATCATCATCATCATCATCATCATCATCATCACCATCACCATCACCATCACCATCACCATCATCTCCATCATCTCCATCATCCCTCATTGGCCCGTCCGTCATATCTATTCTCCCCACCTCTTCTCTCATTGCCCCTTCCCTTCCCTCTCCCCTCCCTCGGGCTCCTCCTCGTTCTCGTCGCCCTCCGCCTCCAATACCTCATCCTCTCATCTACTTCATTTCCGCTTGATTGATCATGCTCATGATCTCGAGCATCCTTTTTCATCCCTCTCTCCTCTCCTCTCTCCTAGAACCTCCACTCTCCTTCAAACTCTCCTCATCCCTATTTCATGTCCTCCTCTCTCCTGGAACCTCCACCGCTTGCAGGTTCTCTTCCGGCTCTTCCGCAGGCTCTTTCCCCCTCCCCATTCCTTCCCCCTTGTGTGCGTCCTCTCTTTTTTTTTTCTGGCGGGCTGGCGTTGTCCTGGCGGGCTGGCTTCTTTTCCGGCGGAGCGCCAGGAAGTGTTCCAGGTGCGGTTCGATATGGAGTTTCAGACGTCGAATTTGCAGTTGCCCGACATCATTTGAATATTTGGCTGTTGGGAGCAAACCCAGTGGGGGGAATTTTTCTACATCTATACCATCATAAGGCAGTCCATGCATATATGCACGTATAGGTATATCCTTAAGTTTATATGTACACATGTGCATGTACATTTACGCTTGCCAGCGAACACCCCAGACATTGAGATTACACACGTGCAAGCGTGCGAGCTATGTGGTGCAACACAGACACGCTCACACATATTATAGATGTGTGTATACATAGATGTATATCAAAACAGCCTGCGGCCCATCAGAGTTATCAGGGAGGATTCTTGGGGTCTCTTCGACGCGCCTTCTGGGGCCTCTTGGGGACAGTTTTGGGGCCTCTTGGGAGCCTCTTGGAACCTCTTGGGGGCCTCTTGGGTGGGGGTCTCTCTGGGCCGAGTGTTCGAAATGTCCATTCGGGTTCCCCATCTGGGACCCCTCTTGGAGCCGTCTTTAGGCCGTCTTGGGCGCCTCCTGGGCCGTCTTGGGGCCCTCTTGGGCCATCTTGTGGCCTCCGTCCTCCTGGGCAGTCGTGGAGCGTCGGGATGCCGAAAAGGCGGGAAGGCCAACATCCATCAAACACCTAAGGAACATTGAGAATGTTTGCCTCTTGGGGCCCTTTTGGAAGGCGGAGGCCTCTTTGGGCGTCTTGGAGGCCTCTTGTGCCGTCGTGGGCGTCTTGGGGCTGTCTTTGATGTGTCAGGGCCTTCTTTGTCCGTCTTTAGGGACACCTGAGGCTGCCTTGGCCCGTCCTGGGGCCCGGTTGGGACCGAACACGTCACGCTGAAGACGCCGTGAATCCCAAGGGGCATTGGACAAGCCCACGGAGATTTGGCAATTTGGGGTCCGTGCCCTTTCGAGGTTTAGGAGAATAGGGAAAGGAGCTGAGGACACGCCTACTCCGTGACCAGAGGCACAGCGGCGGTGGTGCATATATGGTGAGATATATAGATGTAAGATATATATATATATCTATATATACATAGATTCCCATCGAGTTTTACATATGTGTATATATATATATATCTTTCTCTTGAGGGCTTCGCCCTCTGCCGCTGGCCCCCCTAATACTAGTGCGGGCGGCTGCGCGGATAGCGTCGTGGGTGGTTGTTCAGGCGGTTGGATTCAAAGGAGGAGGTGAAGGACGAGGAGGAGGAGGAGGAGGAGGATGCGGAGGCCCCTCTATTACTAGTGCGTGCCGCCGCGTGGATAGCGCCGTGGGTGCTTCTCGTGGCAGGCTTCTCGGCAGCGTCTGCGGGTCATATTTGTGGTCTCTTGGGGATCTCATTGGGGCCTCTTGGGGTCTTTTGGGACCTTCTTGGGGCCTCCTGGGGCCCTCCCGGGGCGAAAAGGTCGATTTTTCGGTTCGTGGATTCCTCTTGGGCCTCTTTGGGACCGTCTTAGGGCCCTTTTGGGCCGCCTGGGGCGCCTCTTGCACCGTCTTGGGGCCTTCTTCGGCCGTCTTAAGGCCGTCTTGGGGGCCTCTAGGGCATTCATGGGGGCTTCTAGGGCCGTCGTGGGGAGATCTTGGGAACCTCTTGGTCCGTCTCGGAGCGTCGGAAAACCGAAAAGGCGAGAAGGTCAAAATGTCCAAAAGCGTATGGGAAATCATTGATTTTTGCTTCTTGGGGCCCTGTTGGGAGGCCTCTTGGAGGCATCTTGGAGGTCTCTTGGGGGCATCTTGGGCCGTCTTGGGGCCGTCGTGGGACATCGTGGGGCCATCTTAGGCCGGCTTGGCCTCCTGAGGCTCTCTTCGGAGCCTCGTGCAGTTCTGGTCGCGCGGTGACGTCACCATGAGAATCCTGGGGTGGCCCAGAGCAGCCAGGATTTGAGGTTCAATCCCCCAGTTGGCTGTTTGGTGGCGCGGCGAGGCCCCCTAGCAGACAGTAAACAGAAGTTAGGGAACAGGACTGGAGAGACAAAAATCCAAACAAGAAATGACAGTACATAACACATGACAGCAGACCGCACACACCTTCGCAGCCTTGCGCCCCCGGAGGGGGCTGGCGGAGATACACAAGCATACACATACATACGTACACACAGACACACAGGCAGACAGAGACAGGCAGACAGAGACAGGCAGACAGAGACAGACAGACAGGCAGGCAGGCAGGCAGGCAGGCAGGCAGGCAGGCAGGCAGACAGACATACAGATAGAGACTGACAGACAGACAGACAAAGACAGACAGACAGACAGACAGACAGACAGAGACAGACAGACAGACAGAACAGACAGACAGACAGACAGACAGACAGACAGACAGAACAGACAGACAGACAGACAGACAGACAGAACAGACAGACAGACCGACATACAGGCATACATGCATACATGTAATGTCGGAGTGTTGGTCCCCTAGCCCCCCGCGGGACACAATGACAAACGGGGCCACCCTCTGGGCAACCCACTTTGCCCCGCCGGGGCCCAGTGCCTGCTTTCAGTCCGTTGCGTGTTGGTTTCACCCCCCCAGAGCGCTCCACTAGCACCCGCGATAGCCTCCAGACGGCCCAGGAGGCCTCAAGAGCGCTCCAGGACCGCTGAGGAGGGCCTCAAGGCGGGCCAGAAGGCCGCCCAGAGAGCCCTTGGGTGCCCCGAGAAGCCCTTCATGGGGGCCGCAGAGGGGCCCAAATCATTGCATGTCCTCGGGAGGCACGTACTTTTCACCACGGTTCCTTTTTCACCACGTTTTTCACTACGGTCCGATGAGCACTTGAAGCCGGAAGGGCCCCCACGGCCCCTGGACCGGTCCAGAGCCTCACAGGACGGCTCCAGAGACCTCTCGGAGTCGCCCCAGGCGGCTTCCGAAGGCGTCAGACGGGCCAAGCGCGCCTTCGGGCAGCCCTCGAAGACCTTTCGAGGCTCCACGAAGCGCCCAAGAGGCCCCCGATAGGCCCCCAGGAGGCCCCAAAGCGGCTTCCAAGGGTCCCACGATGCGCCCAACCCCCCTAAAATTGAATGTCAACCATACAACGCCACAATTGATGTTCCACAGGATAGCCCTAACATGGAACTATACGTGCTCCTTCTCCTCTCCCTTGTCATTGTCGTCGTCGTCCTCCTCCTCGTCGTCGTGAGATGCTCCAGGAACGGGGCGGAACAATCGCACGGGGAGTACTCGCCTTGTGGGCCTCTCGGCTCCCGTGCCTTCCAGCTCCCTGGCCTCTCACGGCTTGGGCGCCTCTGTGCTGCGGCGTGGTTCCCTGCATGTGCTTGTGCGTATCTATCACTGCCGTGCGCTGCGGAAGCAGTGGGTGGCCTCCTTTTTCCTTCTGCCAGGATGGCTGGGTGGTGGATTGGTTACGCGCGGGAGCGCGCCAGATGGCTGCGCTGCCCTGTTGTTCTGCGTCGGCTGGGTGGTTGTTGGTTGATTGGTCGACGCGCGCGTTGGGTCGGCCCCGGGCGGCGGCGTCGCACGGGAGTCGCGCACTGGTCCTGCGCGCGCAAGGCTCGAGGCTCCGGAGGCCCCAGGGGTGCGTTGGGGATCCCGGGTGCCCCCTTCCCCCCCACCCCTTTGCAGACTCGATGTTGGACCCTGGAGGGAGGCAGCCAAATGCAGTTTCGCAGGCCTAGAGGTTGACACCAACACCAAGATCGGCGGTGCGCCTCCACCGAGAGAAGAAGAACCCGACCTCGGTGACGGTGGTAAGATTCTGGCTTCCAAGGTGGCCGACATATTACCACCAACACCGAAATCTAGGATCGTCTTCCCCTTGTGGAGGCAACGCCCTGTGTTGGTGTTGGTGTCAATTTCCAAGCCTCCAAGACTTTGGACCCTGGAGGGAGACAAGCCAAATGTCTCACTCGCTTTCAGACGCGACTTTGGACCCTGGAGAGAGACCCGAGCATTTTCCTCGGGTGGAGGGCAAAGGGTGAAATGTAAGATGCTGCTTCGACTGATTTTCGAGGCCTAAGTTTGCAAAAGGTGAATCACAAGACGGATCAGATCTCGATGTGCAAATGCCCATACGGATTTCACCCTGCAGGCGGGGGTCGGCGGGTGCGCGCATGCCCTGCCGCTGCGGAGGGGACACGTTGGGGAGAGACGAGCGTCCCACACAGGCCTACCGTTCGTTCGGGAGTCCCGTTTTGAACAGGAGTTGGCCTTCGCCGTTTCAGTTTCAAGAAGCGCCACGGTGCATGATAGTAAGATCGAAGGAAGTGCACAGCAAGGTGCCCATCGCGCACAAGTTGTAAGATCCTTCGGTGCACTTCCGATGGCCACCATTTGAAACGGCTGGGGACGTTCAAGACGATTGTGCGAGGTGCCAACGCGGGAGCCACACTGGATAAGAAGCGGCCTCACCTCCATCCGTGAAGGTTCTGGCGTCCGATACAACGAATCCGGTCACACGGCCGCCGACCGAGATCAGCCAGTCACTGTGCTCGCGAAGTTTCGACAACATCTGCGAACACCTGTGCCGTTTACACGTTGACTTGGGAAGAGTGTTTCCCTTGTGTTGCCCTTCGGCCCTGCGCCGCTTTCCCTTCATTGTGGTTGTCATACATGTCTCAGCCTCTGCTCCTCCTGCGCCTCGCTCCCACCTCCTCTGCCTTGCCGCTGCTCTGGCTCGCAGGGCCCTTGTGCTACTTGGCGCGCCGGCCACGGGCGCCCGCGAGCCCCCGTACAAGGAAAGAGAACGTGTTCTCTCTTAGATCTTCGCACGGGTCCCCCTACTTGTGCTACGTGTCTCTCTGTACTGCATACAGCTACTCACGTACATTCCACACTCATTGATCCTCCCCCCATGTTCCCCCCCTTTTGCCCATGAGAACCCCGAGAAGCCTTTAATGCCGAGGCCCCCCCCGACACCTCCCTCTAAGCTCTCGGCTGGGAACGGTCGTTTCTCCTCGCCCTTTCGCTCCTCGCCGCCTCCTCGCGTTTCCTGCTCGCCCTCCTGTTCGTGTTCCCCTCGCCTCTTTTGTCGTCTTCCCCTCCTCGTCCTTTCCCTCCTCGCCCTCCTCCTCAGCAGTGGCCGGCGCAGGGGGGGGAATTATTTTCCCAGTGCCGTTCTCAGTCCCAATCTGCCAATCAGCCAGCACAAAACTCATAATCATTCGTTGTTCTGCGTTTTTTCTTAAAACAAATCATGGGGGCGGCTAAAGACCTTTCAAGGTTGTCCCTTCCCCTCTCCGGCATGTTTGCGTACTTTCCGATTTTCCCAGATGTTCCATGTTCTTCCCCTACTGAGGAGGAGGGTGGGCGAGAAGGAACCAAAGGATGAGATGGAAAAGGAGGTAGGAAGAAAGAGTGGGGAGGGGGGGCGATCGTGGGTGGAGGAGGAGGAGGAGGAGGAGGAGGGAGGAGGGAGTGACACAAACGCAGGAGGAGAAGGAGGAGGGGGAGGAGGAGGAGGGGGAGGAGGAGGAGGAGGAGGAGGGGGAGAAGAAGGAGGAGGAGGAGGAAAGGAGGAGGAGGAAGAGGAGGAGGGCTGGGGGGGTCGTGTTTGGAGGGGCAGGTCGAGGAGAAGGAGAAGGAGGAGAAAAGGAGGACCTGCTCCGTCTCCTGGACCTCCTGGAACCTAGATCCTCTAAGCAAGATCCTCCAACCTCGGCTTTCTCTTGGCCTCACTCCTGGCACCACCGCTGATAGGATGGCGCATCTCGGCGATCCATTTCTGATGCGAATATTGCCTGGGGGACGTAGCGTTGGGAAAGAACATGAAACCCCGATCCTCGAAGCTCGATCGTCCAGCCTCGATCGTCGATCGCCTCCCTCTTGGAGGACGTCCTACGACGTGGAGCAGACGCTGCTGCCCCTGAGCAAGTTCATGGAGGGCGACGCCGAGCAGGCCCGCGAGAGGCGTGGCGCGCGCGCGTCGCCGCTGCCGCCGTCGCATCCGCCGCCGCCGCCACTGTCGTCGTCGTCGTCGTCGACGTCGACGTTGTCGTCGTCGTCGTCGTCGTCGTCGTCGTCGTCGTCGTCGTCGTCGTCCGAAGAGGAGAGAGGTTGGCAGGACCGTCGTCGTCGTCGTCGTCGTGCGAAGAGGAGGAGGGTTTGCAGGACTGGAGCAGATGGAGGAGGAGTTGGCCGTCGTCGTCGTCGTCGTGGTCGTTGTCGTCGACGTGGCCATCGTCGTCGCCGTCTTCGTTTGCAGCGACGCCGTCGTCGCGATTGTCGTCGTAGTTTTTGTCGTCGTAGCTGTTCTCGCGTGGTCGCCTTCGTCTTCTGGAGATGAGGGGAAGAAGAAGAGTTTGTGAGGAACCAGGCAAGAGAGGGAGGATGATCTTGTTGTCTGATGTTTGCCCCCTTTCTTCTTCCCCCTTCTTCCTTACTACTTCTTCCTTCTCGCCTTCTGCTTCCTCCACCTTCTCCCTTTTGCTAGTGTCACGAGGAGGAGTTCTCCCGTCATACGGACCAGTGGTGGAAGAGCCAAAGAGGAGGACGGGAAGGAGAAGGGGCGATTGAGACGGGAGGAGGGAGCACCAGGAGGAGGACGAGGAGGACGGAGTAATTACGGAGGGATCTGAAACAGGACGACACATGTAGACGAGAGATAGGAGGGAGAAGGAGAAGAAGGAGGTAGGAGGCGGAGGAGGAGGAGGAGGAGGAGGAGGAGGAGAAGGAGGAGGGGGACGGAGGAAGGAAGGCGGTGGAGGAGGCAGGGAGAGGAAGAGCGAGGAGGAGGAGGAGGAGGAGGAGGAGGAGGAGGAGGAGGAGATCACGGAGGAGGAAACGCGAGGAAGGAGGACTGATTTGGATGGGTGATGAGGGAGAGGAGGGCTACCTTGGAGGGGGAGGAGAAGGAAGGTGCCCGTGGCGCCGCAGCGGGCCGGGGGCGCCGACGCCGAGTGGCAGGCGGCCCTGCGGGCGCGCCCGGCGGCGCGCCTGCGGAGTGTTCGCCGCGCGGGCGGCGGCCGTGCTGCGCGCCGCCCGGCCGCTGCTGCCGCCGCCTTGCCGCGTTCCCGGGTCCCTCCCCGCGCCCTCCCGCTCCCCCGTCGTTCCCTCGCCTTGCCGCTGGGCCGCGGGCGGCGCGAGCGCGCGCGGGAGCAGCCCCCTCCCTCCAGCACCTCGGCACGCACGGTCCTGGTGAGGGGGTGGGATGCGTGCGCGCGGCTCCTGGGCACCCCCCCACGGTTTGTTTCTTTCCCTCCCTCTCCCTCTCCCTCTCTCTCTCTCTCTTTCTCTCTGTCTCTCCATTCCTCCTTCCCTCCCCCTCCTTGATCTACGCCTCCTTCTCTCTGTCAGCATCTCTTTTTGTTTTCTCGCTTCTCTTGTTTCTATATCTCTCTCTTTCTGTCGCTCTCGCCCTCGCTCTTTCTCTATTTCTCTCGCGCTCTCTTTCTATCGCTTTCACTCTCTCTCTCTCTCATTCTCTCTTTTCCTTCACCTGCACGATCCCTTCTTCTACCTCCTTCTTCCTGCTCTTCTTCATCCCTGCCCTCTCTCCCGAGGAGGGTGACGACGGACCGCCGCTCGATGGCAACGCCGCCCGCCGCCGCCGCCGAGGCTCGCCAGCACAGTGGTCATCGACGAAGTCGACGCCCACAGGGCAGTCATGCTCGGGCTCGACAGCGTCAAAG